ATAAGAAAGTGACAGCGGCCGTGTGTCCACATGCCAGGCATGGCGGCAGGTCTGAGGGGGCCCAGGAATGTTCACTGCAACATTCTAGAGCCAACGTTTAGAAATAGGTCAGAACTCAGAAACTCCAGAGGGGGAGAGTCTCACTTACCAGAGATTCGCCATGATGGTGTGAACGTGTGTGTGTGTGTGTGTGTGTGTGTGTGTGTGTGGCTCTTAGAGGCTCAAGGCAGATGGGAGGGGGGAGGAAGGAAGAGGGGGGTGGGGAGGGAGACCTTGAGCTAGGAAATTTGGGAAAGGAATTTTAGGAAATCTTCTTGCTGCTTCTCCTGGATCCCGCCTCATCCTTTCTCTTGACTCTCTCCCCCAGTTTTCTGGAACACATCCTGAAGTGACTTCTTACAAAGTGTGAGGTAAGCGTCTGGGCCCTCATGCCGCTGGTCCAGACACTTGTCTGAGCAGAGAAGTGTTTCAGCACCTTCCGGATGACCACACTGGGCGTCACAGGGGAGGGGCCTCATCTTCACCCTGCTGTCTCCAGTGATTCTGTCCTGGGTCCTCACTTAAACCCTGCCCAGAAGAGCCCCAGCCTAGAGGTCACCCCAGCCCCCACATACTCTATGCTGGGGACACAACAGTGAATAAAAGAGGGACAACCCTGCCCTGAAGGCTTTATTGCCCCAACCCCGTGAACCACCTTTGCAGTGGGGTCCAACCTACCACCTGTGGTGCTCACTCAAGGGGCACTTGGGACACATGCTTTTCTGTTGATTTATAGTTCTATTATTTATATTTACATTATTTATATTATTTATATTATTTATATTATTTATGACCCCCCCGCCCGCCTTGTTAAATTGGTGCTTGAAGCAGCTGTCCTGCCCTTTTTCTGGCTGTGAACTAAAATTATTTTTCAGGAGAGAAGTACATAAGGGTCTTAGTGAATTAATTAGAATTCATCTTCTCGTGGCTTCTAGTGGCTTTTCGCAGAGTTGCATCACGTGTGGTTGGAGACCCAGGGACTGAGGAGGCTGGGACCAGCGCCCAGTACCCAGCGCCCAGCACCCAGCGCCCGTGCCAGCGGCTCCCGCTCTGCCTGGAGGACGCCAGGTTCCTGCCTGCACAGCTGACCACATGGGGTAAGACGGGCTTCTTGTCTGCATAGAAATCGATGCTCACCACCGGTTTCTTTCTTCTTTCTCCGTGATCCTGCAACCGTCAACCCCGAGGCCTGGAATTCACACCGCTGAGGGATGCATCGCTTTCAGCAGCGAGAGGGATCTCCCAGGTCTGTGCCCTTCTCTTTCATAAGCGAACTGTCCAGTGAAGGCTTTGCTGGCAGGTTTGAGTTTCCAGTTAGAGGCTGAAAGGCCACCCCTGGCAACCAGGAAAGTTTGCAGACAAACTTTTTAGGATGATTCTCGGTCGTGGGAATTTTCAGAGGCACATTTGGTGACTTAACTGGCCCACTGCTGCCCAGGGCTCCCTGCTGCGCCTGGGCCTGGTGGAGGGTCTGCTGCTCCTGCCGGACCCCTGCGGACACCCAGCAGGCTGCACCAGCCTCCGTCGCCAGGTTTCCAACAACTTCTCCTGGGAGAACAACTTCAGCCTGGAGAGAAGCTCACTGTGATGCTGTGGCCCGATGAGCAGTACTGTCTGCATCTGGGACAGAGCATTTCCCCCACCATTAAGCCCGCCAGTGCTACTAAATCCATGATTAAACCCGCCAGTGCTACTAAATCCCACGATTAAACCCGCCAGTGCTACTAAATCCACGATTAACACTTCAGACTGGGAAAGTGAGTGAACAGGACAAATTGTGAAAAAACAATACTAACGAGTTAACATGTTGACTTGCCCTCTTTTAAAAAACATGCATTGGAGCTGAGCCGAGGGTTCCCAGTCCCCTCCACGCACAGCTTCCTCCCTCCTGCGCCTGCCCGGCACTGCCTGGCCCGGGTCTCAGGGACAGTGGCCCTTTGACGCATCACTGCAGGGCACACAGCAGAGCCCGTGGCGGTGGGGCTGGGGGCACTACCTGCCACCTTACCTGCCCTCACTCACCACAGAGCCACCCAGGGATTCCTCCTGAAGGCAAGCTCCACCCACTGAAAAAGATCCCCAAGATGCAGGACGCCGTGAACAAGCTGGGCAGGAACCGTCTGTAGCTTCCACGCAGGTGGAATGAGGTGACATGAGTGTGGGTGGGCGTGTTTACTTACGTGCAGGAATACACCAGGAAGGCCCATCAACTCCCAAACAGTCGCGCTCGGAGGGAGCGGGACGTGAGCAGAGGCGGCAGAGGGACCTCCCGCCGCGGCTTTGAACTGCAGGGTGGACGTGCTGGCTGTTCAGTAACCTGGCACACGGAGCGGCACAGTGGTGGGACCCGGCACCATCAACGCGCTCGCCTGCCAGGGCTCGCGTCCTCTGGGCCGTGTCAGCAGCCTAAACCCAGCCTTTCTCCTGAACACAGCACTGCTCTTCCAAGAGCCGATACTGAGCGCTCAGTACCAGCGAGAAACAGTCTCCCCCACACGGGACTGCAGGACAGGGCAGCAAAGTGGGTGGGGGACGGAGGACTGACCTGGGAGGCCACAGGGAAGGACATTTGCCTCGACACAGCCTTTTAAAATATATATATCTTTATTGATTTCAGAGAGAGGAAGGGAGAGAGAGAAACATCAATGATGAGAGTCACTGATCGGCTGCCTCCTGCACGCCCCCGACTGGGGATCGAGCCCACAACCCGGGCCTGTGCCCTGACCGCCCGGGAATCAAACCACGATCGCCTGGATCTCAACCGTTGAGCCACACCAGCTGGGCATTGACACAACCTTCTTAAAAGTTCATCTCAAATTAAGATTTCAAATGTTCCCACAAGAAACTCACACAACCAGCGTCTGTGCACCGTTTCCAACGTGGCTGGAGAAGCACACTGTCCGGGAGCAGCTAACGCGAACAGCTGACACGTGGACGTGAGTCCAGGGTGGTTCCCTGCTGAGAGGGCCAAGAGGTTTTTCCTGATTCAGTGGGAAGCTGTATACACTGTAGTGTTTAGTCAAAACCCTAAAATTAGCCCGGGGTCAGCCATTGCTCCCGGTGCTGTCCGCCGGGGAACGTGAGGCAGGCGCGGGGCTGTGGCCTCACCCGGCTTCATTAAACCACAACTGGAGTGAGCTGCTCAGCAGCCTGGAAACCGCCGTCTCTCGGAGGGACAGGGACGGGCCTGCTACTGGGCGGGCCACAGGGCGGGGGCCCCGGGTCACCACTCAGCACATCTGCTCTGCAACTTCCCAACTCGTTAGTTACTTTTGTTCAATTGCACCAATTTTAANCCCGGGAATCAAACCACGATCGCCTGGATCTCAACCGTTGAGCCACACCAGCTGGGCATTGACACAACCTTCTTAAAAGTTCATCTCAAATTAAGATTTCAAATGTTCCCACAAGAAACTCACACAACCAGCGTCTGTGCACCGTTTCCAACGTGGCTGGAGAAGCACACTGTCCGGGAGCAGCTAACGCGAACAGCTGACACGTGGACGTGAGTCCAGGGTGGTTCCCTGCTGAGAGGGCCAAGAGGTTTTTCCTGATTCAGTGGGAAGCTGTATACACTGTAGTGTTTAGTCAAAACCCTAAAATTAGCCCGGGGTCAGCCATTGCTCCCGGTGCTGTCCGCCGGGGAACGTGAGGCAGGCGCGGGGCTGTGGCCTCACCCGGCTTCATTAAACCACAACTGGAGTGAGCTGCTCAGCAGCCTGGAAACCGCCGTCTCTCGGAGGGACAGGGACGGGCCTGCTACTGGGCGGGCCACAGGGCGGGGGCCCCGGGTCACCACTCAGCACATCTGCTCTGCAACTTCCCAACTCGTTAGTTACTTTTGTTCAATTGCACCAATTTTAAAAGCTCCACTTCCCTCAAGCTGCATCGAGATTTTGCAATTAGAGTGAGTGGTAGCAAACAAATGCTATATTGAGCCAAAAAACCAAAAATCCCCACATTAATCTTCCCCTGCTCACCAGCCACCCTCCCAACACCATCCTGCAGTCGTCTCCGCCTGCTCTGCTGTCTGCCTGGGGCGGGGTGGCCTCCCAGGCTGCTCGCAGCAAGTGCCCAAGGGCTGCTTCCCATTTCTTAATCTCAGGTCTCAACTGAACAGTTAATCCACCAGGTGGACTTTACAGAGAAGTTCCTCATTCAGGTGAGTGGAAGTGAGTAGTAGCTGCATTGAACCTTGCGCCCCCACACACACAGTTGGGCTCACCTACCAGGCAGGGCTGGGGCTCCCAGTCCTCGCCCCATCGCCTCATTTCCCTCCTGGTAGGGGAGAGTCCGCCCGGTCTGAGGGCACTCGGACACTTCATTTCATCCCGTGGGGGGGCTCCGTCCCGAGCAGCATGGTGCTAACTAAAGCAGTGGGCAGGCGTGCAGGATACACCTGCATCAGCATGGTCCGATGCTGGACTGCTGGACCAAGGGATGCTGTGCTCAGTGGGTGTCAGCGGGCCCCCTGACCACAGCATCTGCACCCTCTGGGCACCTGTTAGAAATGCACTTCTTTGGCCCCACCCAGTCAGCCTGGGAGCAGGGCAGGAACTGCCCAACTGTGGAAAGCAAATCCCTCCAGAGTCCACCTAGACCCCGGGTTGTGGACCCACTTCAGTGACCACGGAAAGGCCCCAGGCCACGTTGGGGCAGGGCCGGGCCCTGGGCAGAAGCTTCCCCAGGCCTCACCCAGGTGTGGCTGCCACAGCGCCCCTCCTCTACCCCCCCAGGGGACCCTGGCCCAGGTGTACTGTGGCTCAGCTGGCCCCACCGCAGGGGGTGCAGGCAGGGGGTGAAGGAGACCCGTTCCCCTCATGGCCTCCCCCCAGCACTGCTTCAGGGCCCTGGTTAGGACCAGGCTCCAGGTCTAAAAAGGGGTCCTGGGGCCTCAGGAGGGGAGAGGTTTAAAACCAAAGACCTACTTCACGTCATCAGCAATTAATTCACCAGAGACCTTAACAGAGAAAGCAATGGAGCTTGTTTCCATCATTTATTTACAACGAACATCCACATTCACATGAAGTCACGGTCCTGGGCCAGCCCCCAAGGCTGCAAAGGGCTCAGCAGACAGGCACTGGGGGGCATCTCCCTCGCCCGCACCACCGACGCCTGACATCCTCACAGCCAGTGGAGAGCTGAGCCCGCGTGGCTGGGCTTCACTGGATACACAGTGTGGGAGTCCCACGTGTAGCTGTCCCGTGTCCGCATGGTGTGCCCCTGACCTCCTCACGGGAGCTCTGAAATGAACGGACCTCTCTTACCTCGGTACACAGCAACCAACGTACAATCAGGCGGCATCCCAGGTGGGTAAGGTAAACAGTTAAATTACTAAGTCATTACTTTAAGCTCAAAATACTTCAATGAAAATCGCATATAAAAACCACATAAATTACATTTAAGGTCTGTACATGATTCCAAGAAAACAAACAATACTGTGCTCTGTACAATATCGCTTCCTTTGTAACATTCCAAGCCCAGGAGCACTTTCCCTCGGATGCCAGGAAAGTGGGCAAAACGCACATGCAGGATGATTAAAATCATTTCACAAAATACAAAATCATGTTGGTTCTTTTAAGGCACATTTTGTTTTAAAATGGGACTCCCATTTCAGAAGCCCCCTTCTCACCAGGCCCTGGCAGGTGGCAGCGTCCTGCTCTCGCTAATCTTTGCTGGCAGCCCCTTGATCTGCAACCAGCAGCCAGGCGCTGGAATCGAGCAGCCACGCCCACCCTGCTGCCTGGCGCAGGCCTGCCGTCCCAATGTTTTGCAATATTGGATCCACATGCAACATGGTGGGAAGACACCGCCCACTTTCCTTCAAAGCACAGGCAATGCTCACTACCCAGCCTCCTCCAGGAAAATGCAGGCGACGTTGGGGTCACCGTTCATCAGGCACCACTGGCTTAAAGACCAACGGCAAGGACGGCTGAGGAGCGAGGCTTCATGTGGTCAGGCAGCCGGCCAGCCCCCGAGTGCCTGGGGCTCATCTCTAAGTCTCCCCCGAGCGCCCTCAGCCCCGAACCCCTCAGGCTTCCAGCTGTGCATCGGCTTCTTCCATCTGCAGAGTGTCATTGTCCCCCAGCAGCTCGGTCTCTGGGACGGAGCCCTCCTCCTCCTCCTCGGCTTCCTGCACGGGACTCTGGGCCGCATCCTCAGGGGCGTTCGGCGCATCCTCGGTGCCCTCCGACAGCAGGGCTGCCCTGTCTGCCACAGACGTGCTGGAGGGTGCAGTGGTGACATACCCCGTGCTGGTGGAGCCACTGCCGCTGTGGTGGGAGCCGGGCTTGGGCGCCATCTGGGCAGGCACCTGCTGCGGGGCCATCTGCATGGGAATCTGGACAGGGTAAAAGTTGGGCAGGTAGGCCCCGTAGGCAGGCACGGGCTGGTAACCGTTGACAGGGATGTAGAGCTGCGGGGGGGGCACCAGGGGTCGGATCTGGCCCTTCATAGGGATGAACTGTGGCTGCGGGAAAGGCTGGGCCTTGGGCTTGGGGCCCCCGTAGCGGGCATTGCTGACGTTGCTGACAGGGCTGGTGCTCAGGGAGCTGGTCTGCGTGGCGTTGCTGGCCCCCGAGGTCTGGGCAGAGCTGGTGTAGGCAGATGGGGCGCCCCAGGCCCGGAGCCGGCCGTGGATCTCCTTGAAGCGGGGCCGGCGGCCGGGGGCCTCATGCCAGCACTCGAGCATCAGGGCGTACACCCAGGCCGGGCAGTCCTCAGGGCAGGGCAGCACCTGCCGGCTGCGCACCAGCTCCACCACGTCCTGGTTGGAGTGCCCGCAGTAGGGCTGCAGGCCGTAGCTGAACACCTCCCAGAGGACCACGCCGTAGGACCAGATGTCCGAGTCCACGGAGAACTTGCCGTAGGCGATGGCCTCGGGCGACATCCAGCGGATGGGCAGCAGCGAGCTCCCCGTCAGCTTGTAGTAGTCGGCCGAGTACACTTCGCGGAACAGCCCCAGGTCAGAGATCTTCACGCTCAGCTTGTCGTACACGAGCACGTTGCGGGTGGCCAGGTCCTTGTGGACCACATGGTGGCTGGACAGATACTCCATGCCCGAGGCAATCTGCGCCGCCACGTGCACGAAGTCGGGGGGCTCCAGGGCCGACCTCACGGTCCGGCCATCGTCCGTGCTGCCCACGTCAGAGTGCGGCGAGCGGGTCACCAGGAACTCGTGCAGGTCTCCGTGTGAGCAGTAGCCGAAGACCATGCTGAGGGGCTGGTCCTTGGTCACCACGCCCAGCAGGCAGACGATGTTGGGGTGCTGCAGACGCGCCCGCAGCAGGGCCTCGTGCCGGAACTCCTCCCGGAGGGGACCCTCGGCTTTGTCCTTCAGCGTTTTGATGGCCACGGCCTGGGTCGGCTCCCCCGGGGCAGGGCCGAACAGGTGGCCTTTGTAGACCTTCCCGAAGCGGTCCTCCCCGAGCTCCTCCATGAACCTCACCGTGGACAGGCTGATCTCCTTGAGCTTGGCCTGCCAAGAAGAAAGGCCCGGTGAAACATTCCTGCCACTACAGCTCGGGAAGAAAGACCGGGGAGCGCTGCGGGCTCGGGGGAGGGACGGCTCTGCTGCCCTGGCCTGGCAGAGGACCTGCTGGCCTGCCTGTCCCGCAAGGCCTGCCCCCACACTGCGCTCTGCTTTCAACCGCACCCTCTCATCATGAGCTTCCTGAAACCTTCAACGGGTCCTAACCAGGTGGCAAATTATGTCCAAGTACAGCTGGGCCCCACGGCAGAGTGCGCGCACACCTACTCACACACACCACCCAGCCGAGCGCCAGCTGCGCCCCCAGCCCAGGGCCTGTCCTCTCCCCAGTGTGTTCCCAAGGAGGTCCAGCCACCAGCGCTCAGCACAGGGAGGCCCACGGCTACCTCTCTAGGACCCAGGCTGTGCACCCCATGACTGCTCTCACTTTCCGAGCCCAGGCCAGCTGTTCTGTTGCCCCTCACTGGCCTTCTCGCTGCCTCCTCTTAATTAGATTCTCGATTACATGGTCCTTGATGGAAGAACCACATGGGTGAAATCGGTGCGAATTGCAGAGCTCAGCTTCCCTGGTTCTCACCCCCCGTCTGTGTGTCCAGCCCCCATGCTTCCGGGAGCTTCCCTGACCCCAGGGGGCTCTGTGTCCCCTTGCGGTCCAGCCACCCCACGCCTACCCCCGAACACTGAGTGACTCCCATAGACGGAGCTGAAGGTGTCCACTCTTCCCCTTCACGGCCCACAAGCGAGTGACTCTCGGCCAAGAGCTTGTGAGGTGAATGCCCCTTCACACGCTGAGCGGCTGTGACAGACGTTCTCTGTGTTCTCACCATCCTGACAAGCCCTAGGGTGGGGGGCTGCCCCCCACTTCCTCTACAAGACTGTTTGCTCCATCCGTCCCTGAAAATCACAACAAAGCAAAACCAACCACACCTCAAACTGAGCTGAAAACAGGCCCAGCCCCTTAAAAATGCCATACTGAACCTCAGGTGGTGGGGACCAGCGAGCCCTTTACTGGCCTGCCGCCCCCCGGCCCCCAGGGCTGAAGCATCACAAAGCGAGGGGGGCTCAGCGGGGGTCCCACCCCTGGGATGCTGAACTCTAACATCCTACCATGTATTTTCCGAGGACACAAACGTGCTGACACGTCTCAGAGGAGAAACAATGAACGAAAGACAGTTTAAGAGAGTTGTGTGCTGTGCCTGTGGCAGGCGGAGGGGAAGCGGGGAGACCTGCTTGTGCTGGCCGATGAGGGGCATCTCCACGTCCTGGCTGGGCGACGCCACCAGCTGCCGGCGCGGGGGCGCGGAGGCCGAGGCCTTCTGCCTGTTGCGGCACACGCACACGAGGAAGAAGAGGCAGGCGATGACCAGGGGGATGGCGATGCTCGGCACCAGGATGTACAGGATCCCCATCCTACTGCCATCTCGGGGGCCTGTGGACAGCAAGGCCCCTGTGAGCTCCAGAAACACCGCCTCCCGCCCCGCCCACGGTACTCAAGCACACCTGGGCACTCGGCCAGCGGCGCACCCCACCTGGGAAGAGGGGCCCGCACAGACGCACCCTGCCCGCGGTGGGCCCGTGAGCCCCCAGAGCTGCCCGGGGCCGACCACAGTGCAGAGCAGTGGGCTCCGAGGGCCGGCGCTCGCCCGCACCGCCGGGTTTCACCTCTGCGGCCCCTGATGAAGCCCGTCTGGCCCTTGTCCTCGGAGAGGGAAACTAGGTGCTGGGGTCAGAAACGACCCTGTTCTTCATGCCATATTTTAGGGCCGTCCACAGTTTTGTATGTTAACATATTCTTTTAGGATAATGATCACAGGAGCATTTGATTTGAAGCGCGGTGAGGGCCTGCAGAGCAGCAGCAGGGGACCAGCACCTGGAAGGCGGTGGGCGAGAGGGGCGCACAGAGGGAAGCCTGCGGCCGGGCGCGCCGTCGCCCCACAGGACCGGCAGGCGCCGTGGCCCCGGGCAGCAGTGCTGGCCCCGAGCAGAGCTGGGGGCTCCGGGGGCAGAAAGGGCGCTTCCCCACCCCCAGCAGCTTTCTCCCTCACCCTGTGAAAAGCACACGGGACTGGGGGTAACGAGCTCTCCATCTGAAAGGTGACAAGTGATTTCTGGTAACACGGTCTCTGAAAGACCGAATTCACTTCTGAAAATGAACACTATTGCCACCTCGGTAAAAAACAACACTGTCCCAAACCCAGCCTGGCCTCCTGGCACCAAAATAAAATAAAGCAACACCACAGACTCTCCCGGCCCTGCCCGGAGGCAGATGTTCTAGAAGCCTCGGGGCAGTGCAGCCTCAGTTTTCATTATGAGGGGTGGGGGAGAACCCACGCCAAGGCCAAGTCAGAGGTGTGAGCCGAGCCCTCCAAACACTTGTACGACCATTTACTTATCGTTATCTTTTAACATCACAACCAGAGCACATGCTTATTAACAACTGTAGCGTTAGGACAGTGACTGTTCCTAACAACCCACCTCACCAGGGGCTGTGCCGCTGCCGACGGGCTGCTGCCCACCTGGTGTTCTATGCGTGCTCTACGTGGAACATGGGGTTACAACAGTCAACTCTTGTGACGCACAGAACCGGCAGTTTCATACTTTTTAAAATAGAAGTTTGAATAGAATTCATTTTAAATAGGATCCTATCGTCCGCACCCCTGCTTCTGGTCTGGGGCAGAATAATCGCCCTCAGACGTAGCACGGGACAGACAGCTCTAGGGGCTCCTCGGTGGCCGTGCACCACCCACGGTATCGTCCAAACCCCTACCGGGAAACAGCTGGTCTGTTTCTTATTAGCTATTAAAAGTGATTCTGAAATAAACATCCTTGCATTTCTGCTAAGTACAAATATTTCTGCAATATAAGATTCCTGCAATCGCCAGGTCAAAAAAGTTACATTTTTTCTTCATGTTTTGATTTAGTTTTAACTACAAAGCTAATAACTGCTCATTATAAAAACATCTTATATTTCAATATTTCTGTAGGTCATGGGAAATCACTGCTAAAAGTTTGGTGCGTATTGTCCCCAAACTTTACCCAGAAATATAGGGCTTGTGTGTGTGTGTGTGTGTGTGAGAGAGAGAGAGAGTGCACACACACACACCGCTTTCGTTCATTTTTTTTTTTATAAAAAGAAAGGAGGGAGGGAGGGGAGATATAATACAGCTAATGCCTACAACTTGCTTCTTTCCCTTCACAGGACCTCATGACCATCCTTGTAGGAAATTTTTCAAACCACTGTAGTATTCCATAGAGTAGCTATACTATCATCTAACTCCTGCCATTTCCACTTTTAAAATTGACTCCTGCAATGAACACGCTCTTGAAGCGTGTGCGTGGACGGCTGGGTGAGCGGGAGCGCCGAGGTGGGGACAGGGCGCAGGCCTGCCGGTGCTGGCCGTGAGG